AATATGTTACCACTCCAAACAACCAGTGTCTCATCGTCAGTCATAAAAAACTTTCTTGTCCAGATGAATTCTTACCTAGTCATAATGATAATACTTCTTACTAATATTATACTGTTTCTTATTTGAGTAGTACTCTAGTAATAATTGGTTTGAACATTATGAAATCATTATCCTGATGTCTTTTATCATATAAATTTCTCGAACCCTCATTAACTCTTACTTTAAACTCTATTTGGACTACAACAAAAATATCTTTTATAGATATTTCTGCTGGAATGATATATTACTGGTTTGAGAAACATGTAATTATATCAAAGAGGAAAAATGTTTGTTTTGCACAATCAATATTAGGGAGATAAGACCACACAGAATCAAAATAAATTAATATATTATGAAAAATTGCCAAAAGGTAAACACATATAAGTAGACGACTTTACTTATTAATTTTGCAACCTGGATAAATTACGTTATATTGTATGCTTCTTTTACATTTATATAATTATTAATTCCAAAATAAGAGATCGAGGGGAAATTACTCTACATATTGACATCACAATGACATATAATATGATCACCAACGCTAAAGACATGTATACTAATATTATTCATCCAGAGGAAACACAACCTTGTTTAATACATGTATTGGTTCTATCCAAATATTATGATGATGCAATAGCAATTCTTACTAATCAACACTATCTGCATGGCGAATTTTCACTAACCAAAATACAACTTGGAATTATTGTAATTTTCTGAAAAACAGAATGAAGAATTTTTATATTTCCAAAGAAGTAACATCTATACTTGTAATGTGAATTCAAATTAGTTGTGCTATATCAAAATAAAAAAATTGGGAGTATTAGAAAAAATTGAAATTTCTTTGAAAATTTTTCTCATCTATTATTGTTTATATTTAGCTAACTCAAATTATTCTTTTTTTTCATGAAAGATTTTTTTGTTGTTTGAAAATCTATTGTTCGTTCCAGTAAAACAGAAAAACATCCTCTTGTCATGTAAACACACATTCAGACCAATTACCACAGCAACCTCATTTCACTTTTCAATTATTCTGTAGTAACAAAAGCAAAGAAAACTTTTGGCAAAAGTAAAAATACTTAATACTAATTTCTAACCAGTTAAATTTTGTCTACATTTGGACAATTTTTTATCTGATTGTTTAACTTTTTTAGGGTAAAAAATCACAACAAGTTTGATTGTTCAACTCTTCTTCTATCAAACGAGGGATTGAATATAGTTTTGCAACTCGACAAAGAAACTAATTTTCTGCTTGAACCCATATCAAGATGAATTAATTATATTTTCCTGTTTTAATATGAATATAGTAAGTAAGTAGAAAAAACAAGTTACTATCTTCTTTAAGAAGGTTATTCTTCAGTATTTACCTAATCTATAGCATTTATTTGTTGGAATGTACAATTCCACAAGCAAAATAACCAACAAAGTTTATTTCTTTTTTTCAGTTAGCAATCATCCTAGAGTGATTGTTGTTATTTTTTGTCCCAAGGACTTGTGTTTGGTTTTATTTTTTAAATTGTAAGTCAATTCTTTACAAAAGCCATAGAACTTTAGGGTTGTTTTTAAATTGTCATTTTTAGACATATCACGAAACTTAGGAATAAAAATACCTCACTTCAGTTACTAACAGAAATATTCCTAAATACTACTACAAGAAGATGCTTTGGACAACAATAAATCCCATAATCTAAAAAAAAAACATGCTTAAAAATAGTTCATTGTATACTATCTATTATAGTCATTTCATTCAACCACCAATTGGCAAACAAAAAACAAAAAGAAAAGCTCTGTTATCAAGTCTTGCTATTTTGAAAAGATACAAACTTCCTATCATCCTTTGACCTAGTATAAATAAACAACATCATAACAATAGGTCGAATATAATAATAATCATCTTTTTTTCTTGTTTGTCTTAAAATTAAACCAAATAGCTATCATTAAACGACATTGTAAAAGATTTTAAGGATTCCACAAGGTATACGTCATTTTTTCTAGTTCAATAGTACTCTTGCATGTCTTACATATTGTGTATCCGAAAAGGAGAAAAAATACTCCGCCTAAATGGAGAATTTTGAATTTTACAAATTATATTGTTCTTATACTAGATCGGAAAAAAGAGAAAAAATCAGGAATAGGAATATCACACTAAAAAGTCTAATTGAGATCCAAATCTACCAGGAGAATAATTATATTTTAGATCTTTATCATAATAGATGTTCTAATAGAACAATAATAACTTTAAATAATAAATTCTTGGTTAACAAAAGAACAATTTTACTACATTTGTTGAATATTATAAAAAATATTACTACATGCTAACGTCATATAAGGTGCTGATTCTTGCAATACGAACTAAAAAAAGAAAAAAAATTGTTGATGGTTCTTATAGTGTATAACTTTATATAACTTATGTACAAACAGTAACAATGCAATAAAAATTCTTTACCCCTTTTTTAAATTATACATTCCTATTCGATCCCACAGTCACTGCCAAAAATTTTAATATTCTATTGTGAATGAAGTAATAAATTTTGAACATTCTATAGATCGATTTACTATAGAATATTGTGATATATACAAAAAAGAGATATAAATGCCAAATAACTAATTAATCAGGGGCGATGATCCTGTAAGAGTGGGGATTCTCTAAAATAATTCAGGGGCAAAAATTTAAAAATAGAATACAAAGAGACATGTATATCTATAGTGTGGTTAGAATTGTCTGTATTATCTCTTTTCCCACTTGTGTAATTTTTTTCTTCACTTTTATTCTTTTTGTCGTTGCATCAAATACAAAGACGAGTGTTTCCAACACAATAGCAAAAAGGAAAAAAAACTATTTGTCCATTCTTAAATTTGTAAACTTTCCCTTTTATGTTCTTCAAAAGTAAAGTATCTAGACAAAACTGATTCTATTGTTCTGCAATGTGAAAATGCCCAAACAATAAACAATATTTTTAATTCTCCATTTGGAAATGTTTTCGAGAACTCAACATTTTCTGTTTCCTTTTTTGTTTAAAGAAACTACCACACAGTGATATTTTTCCTATTAGAGATAATAAAATGATCAGCTATGCTGTGTTTTTGTGCTTTACTTAGATTTTTAGTCCAATTGTTGAAGATTACAGATCTTTTTCTTCATTCTTTGTTTCTACTCCTTTACACACTTTTATCATTGAAGATTTATTGCAAAACTTTATTTATATTTTATTCTGGTTCAGTCAAAAATTTAGAACCTATTAGACAATCATTTTTATTGCAAGTCATGAGCACATTTTTATATAAAACTACTATGGATTATGTCTGAATATTCTTTCGTTTCTTGCTTCTCTTCTTGCAGGCATGAGCATCATCTCGTTATACTCCCAGATGCTACCAGTATAACCGAACTAAGTGAATCACCTCAAATAACCAAAAAACTAACGCCATAAAGTATACTCACCAAACTATATATTTTACTGAAAAGTCAATAATTCCGAATATTTGAAAATAATATAATGGTCTCAAGTGCCTTATCATTGTGCGCGGCACTGCTTTTAGCTGCTTTTTCTGCTGTATCGAAGGCACAAACATCTTATTACATTTCTATTTATACTGAAACAATTCCTAGTTATTCGCAACCGCAAGTATCTTATATTACTAGTTATCTTGGACCGACTACTCACGGTGGTAAGGGTCCTATTGCCACAGTGGACGGATGGCCTGTGAATAATCCGTATAATGCATCTAAGGATGCTCGTTGTATGTTGACTCCAGAACAAAAGGCGGCTGTTTTGGACCTAATGAATAAGTACAGATCTATGTTTGTCGACACTCCTAATTTGACCTGGTCTGATACTTTAGCCCAACGGGCTGCGTGGTGGGCTTGCGAATTTAATGTCAAGACGCCTGTTTTTCAAGACGCTCCCGATTACGGCTACTTTATTGGTTCAAACTTTTACGTGGGACCTGGTCCTCTGACCAGCGGTGTAGACGCCTGGTTTGATGAAATTAATGATTATAATTACAGCGATCCTTACCTTTTGCCTTACTTACATAATGGACATTTTACACAGCTTGTTTGGAAATCCACCACGGAGGTTGGTTGTGGTGCGCAAGAATATTGGCCCGGTGTTGATGGTTTGCCTGGTCGATATTTTTTTGAGTGTGAGTTCATACCTCTTGGTAATGATTATGGTAAATACCATGAAAATGTCATGCCTCTGAAACCAGCTTATGCAACTCTTCAGTTCCCAACACCTCACTGGACAGCCGCCCCCGTAAATTGGACATCTATATCTCTATATGAAAAAACACATGCTGTAGCTCAAATTACTATAACTCCGACATCAAATCCTAACCCTGTTTACACAATACCTTTTGGAGATTGGTCAGACTTCTTTCCATCAACGGCCCAGTTTACTTATTTAAGTGCCACTGACAGTCCAACTACCACTGCAACAACATCTACCTCGAGCAACAGTCATGCTTCTGCTGTGAATACTACTAACAGATCAACCTCCACTGCAACAACAACTACTTCAACCAACACTCATGGTTCTGCTATTGATGCTACTCACAGATCAACTATCATTTCTAAAAAATCTACTTCAATCAGTCATAGTTCTGCTATGGATGCTACTGACAAGTCAATTGCCACTGCAACAACATCTACCTCAAGCAACAGTCGTAGTTCTAGTATCAATGCTACTGACAAATCAACTGTCACTTCTAAAAAATCTACTTCAATCAGTCATAGTTCTGCTATGGATGCTACTGACAAATCAACCATTTCTGAGAAGTCTACCTCTAGCAATAGTCATGGTTCTATTATGAATACTACTGACAGATCAACTGTCACTTCTAAAAAATCTACCTCAAGCAACAGTCATAATTCTGCTATGGATGCTACTGGTAAGTCAACCATCACCTCTAACAAATCTACCTCAAGCAACAATCATAGTTCTGTCGTTGATGCTACTGACAGATCAACCACCACTGCAACAACATCTACTCCAATCAGTCGTGGTTCTGCTATTGATGCTACTAATAAATCTACCACCACTTCTAACAAATCTAACTCGAGCAACATTCATGCTTCTGCTATGAATACTACTAACAGATCAACCACTACTTCTAAAAAATCTACCTCAATCAGTCATGATTCTGCTATTGATGCTACTGACAGATCGACCACCACTTCTAACAAATCTACCTCAAACAGTCATAGTTCTACTATGGATGCTACTCACAGATCAACCATCACTGCAACAATATCTACTTCAAGCAACAGTCATAGTTCTATTATAAATACTACTGACAGATCAACTACCACTGCAACAATATCTACTTCAAACAGTAATGGTTCTACTATGGATGCTACTCACAGATCAACCATCACTTCTAAGAAATCTACTTCAAGCAACAATCGTAGTTCTACTATGGATGCTATTAACAGATTAACCATCACTGCAACAACAACTACCCCAAGCAACAGTAATGGTTCTGCTGTTGATGCTACTAGCAGATCAACCATCACTTCTGAGAAATCTATCTCAAGCAACAGTCATGGTTCTGCTATGGATGCCACTGACAGATCAACCATCACCTCTAATAAATCTACCTTGAGCAAGAGTAATGGTTCTACTATGAATACTACTGACAGATCAATCACCACTTCTAAGAAATCTACCTCAAGCAACAGTCATGGTTCTGGTATCAATGCCACCAACAAGTCAACTGCCACTTCTAAGAAATCTGCCTCAAACAGTCATAGTTCTACTATGGATGCTACTGACAAGTCAATTGCCACTGCAACAACATCTACCTCAAGCAACAGTCGTAGTTCTAGTATCAATGCTACTGACAAATCAACTGTCACTTCTAAAAAATCTACCTCAAACAGTCATAGTTCTACTATGAATACTACTGACAGATCAACCACCACTTCTAACAAATCTACCTCAATCAGTCATAGTTCTGCTATGAATACCACTGACAGATCAACCATCACTTCCAAGAAATCTACTTTAAGTAACAGTAATGGTTCTGCTATGGATGTTACTGACAGATCAACCATCACTTCTACCTCAATCAGTCATAGTTCTACTATGAATACTACTGACAGATCAACCATCACTTCTAAAAAATCTACTTTAAGTAACAGTAATGGTTCTGCTATGGATGTTACTGACAGATCAACCATCACTTCTACCTCAATCAGTCATAGTTCTACTATGAATACTACTGACAGATCAACCATCACTTCTAAAAAATCTACTTTAAGTAACAGTAATGGTTCTGCTATGGATGTTACTGACAGATCAACCATCACTTCTACCTCAATCAGTCATAGTTCTACTATGAATACTACTGACAGATCAACCATCACTTCTAAAAAATCTACCTCAAGCAACAGTCATAATTCTGCCATTGATGCTACTGACAGATCAACCTCCACTTCTAACAAATCTACTTCAAGCAAAAGTAATGGTTCTAATATCAATGCTACTAATAGATCTACCACTACTTCTAAGAAATCTGTCTCAATCAGTCATAATTCTGCTATTGATGCTACTAACAGATCAACCACTACTTCTAAGAAATCTACCTCAATCAGTCATAGTTCTACTATGAATACTACTGACAGATCCACTGCTACTTCTGACAAATCTACCTCAATTAGTCGTGGTTCTACTATGGATGCCACTGACAGATCAGCTACTACTGCAACAACATCTACCCCAAGCAACAGTAATGGTTCTGCTATTGATGCTACTGACAGATCAACTGCCACTTCTAAGATCTCTACTTCAAGCAACAGTAATGGTTCTTCTATAAATACTACTGGCAAGTCAACCTCCACTTCTAACAAATCTACCTCGAGTAACAGTCATGGTTCTACTATCGATGCTACTAACAGATCAGCTACTACTTCTACCAAATCTACCTCAATCAGTCATAGTTCTGCTATGGATGCCACTGACAGATCAGCTACTACTGCAACAACATCTACCCCAAGCAACAGTAATGGTTCTGCTATTAGTGTCAATGGTAATGCACATGCTACTGGTGAAGCTGCATCCGCTAAAACAAATGTTGCTCACTCCGTCACAACCGCTACTGTTAAGAGCACACACATGGTAGATGTCACTGAATGTCCAGTTTGCTCACTATCCACCGCTACCACTTCATTTTCTTCCCAAAACAGTCAAACTGTCCTACATGGTGAACCAGTGTTGAGAGTTAGTACAGTTTATACTACAGACGGTGTTGTTATCACTACATACACTCCTTCATGTCCAGAAAGTGCTAAGACAGGTTCTGTTACAGCTTCTGCTGCTACTGCTACTGCACCTTCAGACGTAAGCATGGAATCTGCCCATTCCAATGTTGTTCCATCTGTAGGTGTTGCTACTTCTTCTTCTAATTCTGCGGAAAGTGTTACAGTTGCAAAATATGAAGGTTTGGCAGCTAGTTTGACCTCAGATGTTCTATTCAGCGCTATTTTAATGGCTCTTATTCATTTGATCTAATTATGATACTGTTTTAGAGAGGCATTTGAACCTGTACTAATAATTGACAGACGCTGTAATATATCATTTATTGTGATTGTCTGATGTTAGTATAAAAAAATTACAGCACCTGTTGATTATTAGTACAAGTACAAATGCCTCTTTTTTTTATACTAACCTCGGTTTTATTTATTTACTTTTTGTATAAAATATTTTTTTTAAATATAATTTATTTACAGAACACTTTTAGTTGGTCTAATTTATTTTTACCTAAAAATATTGAATCTTGTCCTACTACTACGAGCATGACCTTAGTAGTCTACTTCATTCTCATCACCATGACGCTTTCCTTTCTTTACCTAAAAAGCATGACTACAGGGGTTGTATAAGTTATTGACCTTCTTAAATACAACTTTATGCGTCTCAAGGACGATATTTTTTTCATTTCAGTTGTGAAGAATACGTCACTATCTATATGGAATCCTTCAATGCTATCGTAGAGACCAAATATCTGAAGATCCTACTGAAATATATCAATGATCATATTTGATACTCTAAAGAGACAATATAAAACAATCAAACTACTCCAATAGATGTAAAAATGAAAAGATCTGTATCTTTGAATCAAATACTGAATGGGAACCCTATATCTAAGAGAACTAAGCTGAATGGGAGTAAAGTAAAAGGAATATCGAAAGACCCAGAGACTGTCGATCTTGTGAAACTACCTGAGCAGGTAGACCTCAATAACGTTCAAACAAATAAACCAAAAATTATTCCACTTGGTGATAATCTATCCAGCGTCTTGGTGAAGACATTTCTAATGAGGAAACCACCAAAGTTACTAAATATTATAGGAATGTACTTCCTGGGAGTATAATTAATTATTAATCTAATGGTAGTGTATATTTTAAGTAAGATTGCCAATATAGCAAGTAACAAATACACACCACTGATTATTAACAGCTTATTGTAAATCTAACTACGTATTATAAGAATCCAACTTTTAGTTATGATGTATTGTGTGAAATAAATAATATCAAACTGTCATTATATATACTTGAAATGTTTACATCTAATTATATCCTAAGACTTAATAAAATATACAAAATAATAGAAATATAATATACACCCATTAGTTTTTAATATTTCACTTTGTATTATCTTTTCCAATAACTATGTCATTAAATATTATTCATTTGTAAGTATTAATAGTATTATGTGAAAAATTTTGGATGTTGTAATATATAAATTATTTAAACGCATTAATAAAGGTTGGATTTCATATTTATTTAATGGTGAACTAATAAATTTTAGAATTCTATTTATTATGATATAGCAATAAAGATTCTAGATATATATAATATTATAACCATAGGTAAGAAAAGTCTCTCTGTTATTTTATTTGTAAAATAATATCCACTAGCTTTTGCCTTATTTTCTTTTTATTTAATTATTAGTATACTTATCAAAACTGTTGAATAATAGGCAGATAATCACTACTTTTTTATTTAAAAGTGATTTTTGTAGATCATTAAAACAACTTTTTGAAGAAAATATTTCAAGAAAAAGAAATAGTGAAGGATCAATGTGTGTTTGTTTATAAACACCATATATATTTTCTGCATAGTTTTTAATAAAATGGAGATCCAATTTGTCTAAGGCTCAAGTAATAGAAATGTTAGATATAAAATTCATTATTGTCTAAGATAAACCAACTATCTTCAATACTACTGTGCTAATCATCAATTCTATCATATGTGTTAAAATATAACTCCACATAAGTTATTGTCTCTATGGAACCTGATTTAAGTTTAACTTGCTAAAGTTAGCATCAATACAACACTGCCAATCTTTATCATTTATCAAAATATTTCAGTTGCAATAGATGCTAAAGCCTAGAAATTATTTGCATTCGCTTATTTGGCATTTTTAACTATAATAACGTAGTCGAATTTAAGATTGCATAATTTCATTGTAAATAATAGTTTTGTTTTCAAATCTTGCAATTTCCTTTTTGACATTTATGCAACTGGCACAAATATGTTGTTTTACACTACTTTTGTGCATGACATTTTGCCTGTTGTTGTTTGGAACAAACATTGAGAAATTTTCCTTTAAATGATCACATAATAGTAAAATAGAAATATCTCACTCACATGAAATTTTCTACTTGTTTTCATCGTAAAATGGGCTAATAGATGTTTCCAAATAAGCAGAGGTAATTATAATACTATAAACGTTTTAATTATGAATTTTAATTGTGATTTGACATCAAGGGGGAATATGCTATAATTATTGTTTCAATAATTCATCGTATTTATTGTTTTTGTTTCAAATGGATTGGAAAATTCTAGTGGATACCAAGTTTGTAATTTCTTTGAAAACTAATATGGTGTTGTTGAGAAGAATAGCCAGTCAATACGTAAGCTAAAGTTTTTTAAGACAATCCATAGTAGATAAAGTTGTTTATGTTAAATGTTTTATTTTCACTTCGAAAGAAATGCATTTTTTCATTACTTCAGCGCAAGAAAAACAGTTTTTTTTTCTGTTGTTTTTGATCAGAAAAATTTGGACATTCATTTTTTTAATCGTATTAGATGTTGATGTTATTGCGTCAATGTTTTTATGTAGTATTAGGAAGTGAATCATTTCTTCTAGTTTGGAATGTATGCAATCCGCAACCTATAAGAAGTAGTTGATTCATTATTGTATAAATATTTATTATAGTTAACAGAAATAATGTCCAAAACATACTCATTATGATATATACAAAATCTTTTGACCCATAAGAATTTAGTATAACAAGAGATTGTCGTATCCTGTATTATATAAAAAAAATGAAGTTCATAGAAATGAAATTGTAAGTTCAAATTGATTTATCCCAAGCATATTTCTAATTAGTATTCAATTAATAGGGAAAATTGATACAGTCATTTATGAGATTCTTTTATATTATTACAGTTGAATATCAGATATCTAGAGATCTTTAAAAAAACAAAAAACACTTCTAACAGATATAAGTAAACATCTTTTATATTATGTTATAAAGCATACTGTCCTAAGAACATATTTTAATTCATTGAAGAGCAAAAGCTCTAATTCTAATGATAATAAGAAAATGTTTACATAACTACGAAACCATCAAAATTTTCATGCTTTATAAATTTGAGGAGGTGTTAGAAGTATTGTTTTAGAAACATAGTGAAAAGCAAAAATTAATTACGGTACAGTATCTTGGAGAGACATAGTAACGACGTTAATATCGGTGAGTATATTTATTCTTTTAGAGGCAAAAAGAAAATTAAAACAATTCAAGTGTATATTGCTATTATTATTTTAGGAATACTAAAAAGATTTAATAGATTTATAACAAATCACAAAACTGAATAATACTCAGATAAATGTAAGTTAGCTATATCTTGAATTGAATTTGGTGCTTTTACGTATAATAGAGATGTTTTAATAATTACTAGCGACTAAGGATATTTATTTATTAGAGTCCTTTTCAAGTTTTAATTGCCAAGTATACTAAGGTTAATTTACACTTAACAGAGATATAGGACATCAATATTCCTTAAATTTGGTAATTTTCAAAATTCAAACTAAAAATGTTGTTCCTTTCGTTTAATTGCTTATTTTTAATAACAAATTTTCATATTGTAGTATCCAAATTACCATAAAATATTTGTAGTTTTATGTTACAATTGTAAAATTTAGTAAGCTATCATCTTCAATATATGGCTCAAAAGAGATTTTATCTTTCAAATTTATTGTTAAAACCACTCTTTTGTCCAAGTGTTAATTTAGCAGTGAAGACTACTCGCTGTAACTTGTGTTTATTCTGTATTTGAATGATTATTCATGTGTAATATTAGAAATCTCTGCTACTTTATTGATAATATCGCCCCATTAGTATAAAATTTATCTTGAAAAAAGTTTTGTTGTGTTTTTTATTGCATATAATGCCTAAGTGTATCACTGACTATTTGAAGACAATATCATATTAATATAATTAATGATAATATTTGAAAATCTAAAAAAATAAAATCGTCTATATTTACACAGATGTATTCTTCAGAAATATTATTGTTATGATAAATTGTTTTGTTATTTCATAATTAGCATTGCTATAAAAAAGGTATATTTGACATATTTGTTGTATGTTTGATTGAGTTTCTTTATATTATTTATAATGATTGTGTTTTCTAAGGATTTTGACAAATCCAGAAGATTTTAGAATGATTTATTGAAAAGTAGAAGCATGACTACTATTATTACAACAGTCCCACATAACCTGTTTTGATCTATATGAAAGAAAATCGAAGACAGGTATCCTCGGAAAACAAAGTGTTTTGTAGTAATTGTTGGATGTCTGTTTCAAAAATATAATAATAGAAAACACTCTATCATTAAAACAGATTTGGCTAGCAGGGGTCTTAACAAAAGTAATTAATTAGGAAGTTTTCTGAGATATTTATTTATGTTTATTTGGTGTTTTATTATCTAACCCATGTGAAATTCAAGATTGAAAGGACTAATCTCTGTCTCTTCAAAAGAAAAATGGCTACCTACAACAGGATTCCAGTAGTTGTGTAATTTAAGGATTTTACATGTCCCATTAAAGATTTTGCTTTCTTTTACAAGTCGAAAAATTTTTTTTCTCTGACTGCAGATATTTTTCGTGAGATTTAGCTCGAAAGCCGTTGACAATAGAGTAAAAATTATTATGACAAAAACACTACGGCTTTATCCCAAAAAGGGAAATGTCCATTAAAAAAAGCTTAGATTTTGTTTTGTTTTTCCGAATTCAGTGGATAGAATTTCCTCGAGATCGCATTGTTATTCAAAGTTGCAAATATTTGAAAAAAGAAGAACTGTTAAAAGGAGTCCTAATGGAGGAAGATAGACTAGGTACGTAAGTCTTCCTCCTTGTTGTAGCGTGTAACAATCCTGTTTAAGGCTAGATGGTAGAGTTAACATTACAGAAAAAACTCATCCAGTCTTTCGATACTTCAGTG